CATTAAAATATTCAGAGCACCCGGAGAAACCTTTTCCAGCCGAGGACCCGGCTGGAAAAGAAAGAAATCATTACATATTGTGCACTTTTTAAAGGCAATTTTGTTTGCTTTCTGCAGTTAAAAAGACTTTAGTTTATGAAACAAGTCTGTTCAGCGTTCCTGTTAAAGTATCAGTTTGTGTCATATTGATATATTTTGCCAACAACTTCTCAAAACAATAGCTAAAAACCTAAAAGAATATATAAAAAAAGATGAAAAACACTCCACTCAAACTATATTTAAAGGGTTTATTGAGCTTAAAAAGGTTCAGTTAGACATTAAGCTGCTCTGTAATCTTGGTTCCTCATAGGAGTTTCAATATGATTTTTTCAGCCGAACAAATTGAGCTAAAATTGAAGTCTAAAGAAGAAGAATTGTGTGTTTTTCAGCTGTTATCTGCTTGTACACTTCAGAGTGACTGAGGCTCCGGTTGGATGTCTTAATTAAAGAAATCATGCAAATAAAATGAAAAAATGTGCACATGCTTTTCTTTAGGATGAACTGAAATATGAACTTCCACCCAAAGTGTTGCTATCAATCTTACAGAAACTGAAACTACTAAAAAAAGCAGACTAAAGCAAACAACCTTGAGGCTTTTCTCATAAACCATTCTTTTATTATTCTACACTAGTAAAATATTTTATCCTTTTAATATTATGACTTTTAACCTTTCTTTAATCACAGAAATAACAATGATTAAAACACAAAGCCCACAGTTACTTAAGTAGATTAGTGTGTATAAAGGTGTATAAATATGTAACATCCAGGTCACACGGTGTAATATGGAATAGTTACAGAACATAAAACGTTAAATTTGTGATAATGAACAGCATAGTTGCTCTATGCAGTCCAAATATAACATCAGCTTTAGAAATGTGGTAGAAATGTTCCTCTGAAGAGCTTTTTCCATGTTCAGTATTATGAAAAAAACAGCTTGTTCAATTACTTCTTTAAGTTATCGGGACTTTCACTATTTACTGAATTCCTCATCAATAATTTGAAAGACTCCAAGCTGCATTGTTTAGTAGGATTTAGGGAACTTGTCATTCTTTATCTGATTGGTGTAGAATATCCACAACCTGTAAATGATATGAGAGTTTAACCCTTTAAAGCCCAATCCAAGAAAAAAATAGGGAGAATTTTTGTTATTGTTTGAAGTCTTTATTTGACCCTTCGCAAAATATATGAAAAAAAAACAGAAATGATTTTTTAATATTCGTCATTTATTACCTTCTGCTAAGTCAAAATGATTGTGCATAGTCTTCTGCCTGCTTTTATAGCTATACCTGATTGTGTACAACAAGGTTTTGAACCAAATTTTTACCATGAAATGATGCAAAAGCTCTCAGATGTAAAATCTTTCAGAAATCGTATGTATCAAATATAATACATATGGCATTATAGGGTTAAAAGCGTTGGGGAACAAATTCTCATTTAAAAACAATTAAAGTGGGATGATGTCTCCTTTCAGAAATCCACAATAAACAGTGAGACTTGGATGGAGTTTAAACTTAATTCTTTCCACTTTGGCCGTAGTGATTTTGGATTTTGGCCGGACCATGTGGGACAGCAGCCATTTAAACCCCCCCACGAAGAGCTGGCGCCTTTTCATCTATTTAGTTTTTGACATTTCATATTTCAAAGAAAACAGATTGAACTAAGTGCCCAGACAAAACAAATCAAAACGAATTGACTGGAGGAAACAAATCCTCCGATATGAGAACCTGCTCTTGTTTATTCAGCTCCTGAAAATAGCTCAAAGTGACAAATACATCTGCAGACTGAAGTAAGCCAAAGACGGATATCCGACTCCGCCCACATCCAAGTCGGCCATTTTGATTAGGTCACCAATAGGAAGATCCCAGGCAAGAAAATGGTAATTGCTTCATGGCAATATATACATTAGTTTAAAAATAGTTAAATGAATCTTGCAAACACTGAATTAAACTCTATCCATAATATTATGTTAAAATAGTGGATGTTAAATAGGTTTGTACAATAAGTCCAAACAAGTTTAACCAAAAAATATTTATTTATCACAATTATGAAGAGTGGAGGGTTAGGGTTAGGGTTAGGGTTAGGGTCAGGGTTAGGGTTAGGGTTAGGGTTAGGGTTAGGGTTATGGTTAGGGTTAGGGTTAGGCAGTGGTGGGCCGTCAGGGCCTTCAAGGCCTTCTCTGCAGGCCTAAGAAAATATATGAATCACAAACTGATGTTAATTATATTTTGTCCATGGAGACTTATTGAATATCTCTAAATAGTCTGTCCGCTTCCTTTCATAGCTTTTCCCCTGGTTGTGCTGCTTCCAGACATGCATTTTCATATTAAAGCATTTAACCAATCACATTTTAGCCATCATTTGTCGCTAGGCAGGGTCAGAGTCAAAGATGTCTGCCAGGAGGCCTTCACAACCCGTTCTGCAGGCCCCCCCCCACAGAAAATACATGTCGAGTACACTGTTGCTTCAACCAAAGAGATTTTAGTTTGGTAACACCGGGGCCTTCTAGAAGGCCTTAGGCAACGTCACCGTACCCACACCCGCTGATTGGATAGTCAGATATCCAATCAG